AGAGAGAGAGAGAGAGAGAGAGAGAGAGAGAGAGAGAGAGAGAGAGAGAGAGAAATTGCTGCCGCTACCTCTTGTACCATGATTGAGTTGACATCAACCAACAGAGATGGCAGCAACGAAAGGAAGACAGGAAGACAGGAAGACAGGAAGACGACTACAAGAGGTAAGACGAGCCACGTCCCGAAGCTTTGTTTTTTAGTTCTGTTTCTTGATTGCCCCGATCGGACAGAAACATGACCCCTCAACTGGATGCACAGCATCTGGTTGAAAAATTAGACAACAGGTGCACTACCATTCCAATGACCTGCTGGCCATTCCCCGATCGGACACACTCTTCGTTTCGGATGTCTACGACATCTCTCATTGAAATGAGCACCAGTTCAATTGGTCTGCTGGCCATTCACCGATCCAACACGATCTTTCGTTCCAACGCCCTGTTTCTTGCTTCTGTTGCTCGATTGCCCCGATCCGACAAAAACACAAAAAAAGTCTACCGGATCTGCACAACGTCGAGTCGAAATCGACACCGAATCCTACACCCATCGTTACAATGATCGATAGCCCCGACCAGAACAAAACATGATCCTCGTCCCGGATAAATGGCATCTCATTGAAATCGACACTTGGTCGCCACCGCCATTCCGATGATCTGTAGATGGTTCTCCTCCGATGTGACCGACTGAAACAAAACCCTTGTGCCCCATGAATGGCGTCTCACTTGAATGCACGAGAGGCCATCTAGCATCATCTCACCAAGCAGTTCGCGGTCGATTAATTGGCAAACAGCCCCTAAAGGCCCCCCTAAATCGACAAAAGCCCCCCCCTAAAGGCCCCTAAATCGACAAAAGCCCCCCCTAAAACCCCCACTAAGTTACGAAATTAGTAATAACTATACATCTCCTGCAACACATACCGACCTACCTCTCTGCTACCTTCTACCACTCACCTTCTCCTCTTCGACAGTTTTCGTACATCCCCCCTGTCCATTATTTCCACTACCACATTCCTCCCTCTCCACACCACCTCCCTCTCCACACCGCACATCGTGCACAAGTCCCACCTCCTCCTTACCCAGTGCCATACTGTCCTACTTCCTACAACCCCTCTCTTTACTACCTATCTACCCCACCTCCGTGCCCGCCCCCCCCCCCCCCCCCCCCCCCCCCCCCCCCCCCCCCCCCCCCCCCCCCCACCCCCCCCCCCCCCCCCCCCCCACCCAAGACAGAAGTCTGTGTCACAACCCAGCATCCAAATGATATGCAAGGGATCACCAACTGACGCGAGGACAGGGGGCTGAAACAGCACGCAATCCAGCATGACTTGATCTTATATACTCGTTTTGGGAATGGAGTAAATAACTGATGTGCGCACAGAGGTTGGCCGACCATATATAACCAGTCAGCCTGACCATAGTTAAGGAGGGGAGGTGTAAACCTTATCAGGTCAAGTGCCGCCCTCTATACCTAAGAGGAGCTCAAAAAAAAAAAAAAAGAAAAAAAAAAGAAGAAGAAGAAGAAAAAGACGTACTTATGCCGTTCGCTTCGCTTACCCAATCACCCTAGCGACGGCTCCAGTAAAGCGAATCACCTTGATGCGCACACGGCTATGTCGTTCACTCTCGCAATTCTCCGAACAAGTCCACCACCACTCCCACAATGCTTCGTTCCCTCCCTCCCTCCTTCCCTTCCCCCTTCCACACACCCCTCTTATCCCCAACCTCGCTCCTGGCTAAATATAACTGCCCAACCTTTCTTGATTGTACATCTCAAGCCCTTGGATGTCATCAAATAGGCAAGCTCACAAAGTATCGTTATCTGCAAACAAATAAGTCCTTTCTGAGCAGATCAACTTCGTCCCTTGTTTTGTCCTCATTAAAGACTGAAAACCTGGCCACTGGGTACCTGCATGGCCCACACAGCACACAAACCCACAGAGCACACAAACATAACACTTACCCATTGCATTGTACTGTCAGAAAGCAGATCTCTTCCTCTCTCTCTCTCTCTCTCTCTCTCTCTCTCTCTCTCTCTCTCTCTCTCTCTCTCTCTCTCTCCTGTGTATCAATTATGCAAAAGATGCATGTTCCACTAGTCAAAGCACATGTCCCAGAGGCCCATTGCATTTCTCAAAACACGGCAGGAACAAGGGCAAACGCCTGAATCCTTCCTTGTTTTTTTTTGTTTTTTTCGGGTTTTTTTTCCCTTCCCAATACGTGCCTCACCTTTTTCTTCCTTGTTTAGGGTCCGCTTCATGTTCGACTGGGTACGATGTATAATCTTTGTAGCAGGTCGCGGCAACCTCCCGAATGCAGTGCATGTGGACCTTTTTGTAATTTCTGGAGCGTGGGCCTTAGAGAGTGGATTTATTTCATTTACCCCTCCCTCCTAGCATTAGTCCATTCACATGGTCTTCTCAAGATCCGAACTCATGATTTGAACTCATGATTTGAACTCATGATCTGCTTTTTACTCAAACTTCCATGTATGTACCATGCTGCCACATATAGACCGCATTCGGACAGTTGATCTTATCCTCTCTTTGATGTCACGGAGGACGACGAGGAAGAGGAAGAGGAAGAGGAAGAGGAAGAGGAAGAGGAAGAAGAAGAGCAAGAGGAAGAGGAAGAGGAAGAGGAAGAGGAAGAGGCAGAGGAAGAGGAAGAACCAGAAGCAGCAGAAGCATAAACTTTTTTTTTTTTTTTTTTTTTTTTTTTGGTAACGATGTCCCATAACTTTAACCAGGGGAAATCATCAGATGAAAACCTCCCGTGGAAAGCGATGAACCCATAAGAACTTCCACCACCGGTACTTGCACGCCTCGTTTTCCGGATTCAGGCAATATGTGCTGCGCACCAATAGAACAATAAGAACAAACAGACTGGGCTTTTTTTTTTGTTTTTTTTGCAGGCAGGGCTTTTTTTTTGTTTTTTTTGTTTCGTTTTTGTTCTTATTTTTCGTTATCAACTTATCACATCCTTGCCCAGGGGCCATGCTAATCATCGCTGTTTCGCCGACACCCAATTTTAACGGATGTCCAGAAGGACCACGCAGGTTTTCCATTTTTTCTGCCTGGTGCCACCTGCCATTTTGGCCCCGTAGGCCGAGCCCTCGAGGTTGCGGCACATATACAGCCTCATCAGAACATTCGGCCCGTAAAAAGTACTGGGTGCTTTACCAAAAAAAGAGAAATTGAAATCGACATGACGAAAATCGAAAGAGACGAGAAATAAAACAGAATGCGACACTGTTTTATTTCTCATAAAACAGAATGAGACATACCTTTCTCGGCCTTTTGGCTAATATCAAGTGTAGTATCTGTTCTGATCAGTTTAATATCTGATCCGTGGTCCATCGGACCATTATATATATCGTGAAATAGAACTGCCTACGGTAAACCGTAGGCAGAGAGGGAGAAGAGGACAACAAACGAGGGGCTGTGACAAACTGTTTCGTCGGAGTTTCACCGACTCATCAGGAGTATAGATATAGATATATAAAAAAAAAATAATGAGACACCCGGGTTGACATGTGGCGGGATTCCCGGTCTCCTTTTGCTCATATAATGAAATCATGCTATTTCTTAATTAAAAATTAAAAAAACAAAAAAAACAAAACCAAAAAAAAAAAACAGAATGAGAGACCATACCTCGTCTGTACATGAAGATCCTCCGAGCCTCGGGATCTCTCTCTGCAAACCAAAGACCAACCGGATGTCACACACTCACGCAAGAACGAGAGTTCGGATGATAACGAGAGAGAGAGAGAGAGAGAGAGAGAGAGAGAGAGAGAGAGAGAGAGAGAGAGAGAGAGAGAGAGAGAGAGAGAGA